CCTGACAAGCCAACCACACAAGTCCACTTGGGACCCCAGCATTGAAGTGCATTGATACCTCTGCAAACGCTCCTCCCTCGATTTCAGCATGCCATTCCTTACCACAAACAAAGGGCATCAGCAAAAACATTCAGAGCAGAAAAGATTCTGGTCAAGAATGTGTGAAATCACTAGAACATCACAAAACTAAGCATCCACCTCTGTCTTCTCAGTACCTAGTCAAGGCACCTGCAGCCACTAAGCAGTGACAGAAACCAAATGGAAAAATGAATAGAGGAACCCAAGGCTGCCTCTGTCAATTAAACAACACTTAAATCTGAACTGAGTGGAGACCTGTATCTACTAAGGGCATTATAGCTCTAACAGTATTATATTTAAAATCAACCTTTTAAATTATGCATTGCATATCATGCTTTACATATATAATTTATAATAACTGATTACAATGTATTTACTAATTAAAATATAGTCATTGGATTATTAATCATAGGGTATAACTATTTAATATGAAAGTGGGTTATAGAATTTAAAATACAACATTCTGATAATTATAATAAAACATAATAAAAGTCTATAATAATTGTTTATTACAACACAAGGATAAATAGGCACTGGTTTGTGATGGCAGTATAAAGCTAAAAACATCATCCATAACACCTTCCTACTTCTTAAAATCTCATTAGCTTTTCAATTTAGTTAGCAGCAGTGGGATGGTGGGCAGCAGAGGTATGTGGTGAACTGGAAGAAGTGGAAGAGAGAGAGGAAAAGATGGCATGTGATTCCTGTATTCTTGATGACAAGGTGCTAGATGTAGCTACTATGCTAGGGGTGAAAGAAGCCTGCTGAAGAGTCATGACTGAGGGAGCCTATGTCTCAAGGAACTCAGGGGTCCAAAGTCATGAGTCAGCACAAGTGAAAAGTCGGCTTGGCCCAAAACAGAGATTTTAAGTAAAATTTGGTTCCTTGTCACTGGCTTTAAAAAGTTTTAAGAAATAAAAAGACATTCCTTGAAGATATACTGTTCAGTCTACTGTTTATCAGTTTAACATAAACTTCTGGCTTAAGAGTAAGTACATCAAGTTACTATAGTAGCAATTTATAATTAGGGTAAGGATTGCTGTTTTATTTTTTTTTTTAACTTTAACTGGTGACAAAATGAACCACCAATGATTCTGCTAAATGTAGAAGCCCCATCAGAAATGGTGCTTTCCTCCTTAACCAACCTGTTTCTTCAGAGTCATGATTGATAGTTTCCCAAGCAATTACTAAATCTGCTGTTTGCAAAACTTGGTATAAAGAAAAAATGGAAGAAAAGAGAGTATCCCAGATTGCCATGGCATATTCCAACTACCATGCAGAATTTCTCTCTTAACACTCAAGAAAATGAAAAAAAAAAAATGAAAAGCCACAACATTCATTATCAGCAACCATCTGCACTAAGGAACATATCCTAAGGAAATGCATATTAAAAATCAAAGACCAAGGAAAGGAAGAAACAGAAAAACTCTAGCATGAGATACATGGCTGCTGTCTCATTTCCAAAAGTCTGAAGTATGAGTGAACAATCTTTGGCATTTAAGTTGCATACCTGCAGAGAAACAATCGTAAGCTTTGTCTTCTTGTGACACGGGAAATTTGCTCTTGTGCTTCTAGAACCAGATATACTAAGGGAAAAGGCACTGTGCAGTTAGTTGGCTTGTTTTGCCAGAGTGAAGGTTCCCTGCTGTGCTGGAGGTGGGAGATGATCTAGACCCCAGAATATTCCTGTGGAAACAGTCAGCAAGTCCCAACTAGGGGAAATGATATCTAAGTTAAGGCAAAATTAACTGTCTGTCCAAATGAGGGAGAGGAAACAGAAGGTCTCTTAAAGAATATTGAGCTTCTCCCGATCTTAGTCCCTAAACTCATTCTTGGCTTTCAGGATTCAGGAGAACTGTAAATTCTCATAGGAAAATAAATGCCCTAGATATGGTAGGGAGAGTGATGAGGTGTCATACAAACTACATCAGAACAATTAGAGCATGCAGTTAGGAAAGAAGTGGCACAGCTACTGTAAAAATACTGTCCAGCAACAAAAGAGAAGACAAGGCACAAAACAGACCAATAAGGCCATCCTAGGGAAAGGCTTAATTCAAGGACAAGAAGGAATACCTTATAACTGCATCATGGTATAAAGTCAATAAAAAGACGGTGCAGTAGAACAACAGAATCAGATGGAAGAGGAAATTTCAGATAGCCAAAAGTAAAATGAGACCCAAACTGTAGTATTATAAAGTTAACAAATGGGTTAGGCACAAATAATCAAACAAAAGTTGCTAAAATGGAATTACTTAAAGAAAAAGCATAAGACATAAAAAAGGACTTACAGGAAATTGAAGAAAGCTAACAGACATCCAAAAGAAATTAACCAACAAGGAAAACTGGCATCCAGAGTACAGACTGTACTAGATGGAACAAATATGTAATTCTGTAAAAGATAATTTCCTAGTAATACCAGGTAGAAAACGGAAACTTCAGCTAAAAGGGGGAGGAAACTTATAGAGTGCAAAACCTCAAAATGTATCCTCAAACAAACAACAACAACAAAAAGTGCATAGCCGTTCAGTCAGACCTGTCTCATAGCTGCCTCTCTAGCAAGTTTTTCTGAAACTGTAAACTACGTAGGAAAATTGTCCAACGTTTTCCCGTGGCGCAGCTGATGGACTTGAACTTTAATACAGTTACTGCCCTTGGGTTAGGAGGGCAATTTCCTGTCGGCTACACCCACCAGAGTTCCCCTAAGACATATCCTAGTTAGAGTATTTAAGGAAAAAGAATTCTTCAAGCATTAAGGGGGGGGGGGAAATACAAACCATCTTCAAGTAAAATAATAGCCTGATTTTAGACATCACCACAAAACACAGCAATATCATCGGGCAACAAAGCAAGTGCTCAGGAGTGGGATTGAGGGACAGCATGACCTCCATGTGGATGGACACATGCCAAGATATGTTGCCAGTGCAAAGGCAACTGAAAGCCAGTCTTGAACCAAACACCTGAAAATATTAAGCACCTTAACAAAGTTGCTTGAACATGAAGTCCTATCAATTAGGAGTTGAATCAAGGTAAGTAGATAAAGAAGTTGTGGTAAATGGATGAGAGGTGACTGTTGAATCATTTTAAGTGTGTTGTGGTGTTGTTGAAGAACCAAACTACTATGGAAAATTTTGGTTAGAGAAGAGAATGGGAATAAAATAATACAACTGAGAAGTGGAATAACGTTCTTACTTTTCAAAGAAACCTCAATATGCACAGTTTAATTTGAAACAAAGGAAGCATGTTTAAGCTGTTAGTATTTTACATGGTATGCGTCTTGCTGTGTGGTGCAGTAGATTGTTTAATATGGCTTTTCTAGCCTTAGGTTTTGACTATCACCACATGGCTGGGAAGAAGTATACAAATGTAGAATTTCTAGGTGGCTTCACCAAGGAAAATGGATGGCTTACTAACAATGTAAATAAGGTAAACAGCATCTGTTTACATGTGACCATACAAACAAGGGGTGTAGGTGACTAAGGAAGGGATTGGTCATTGTTGCCATTCCTCAAGGCTTAAAATGAACTGAATGAAGAGGCAGAAAATGCCAATCTTGTTTCCATTCAGAAAGAAGCAGTAGATTGCAGTGCCTATTTTTGGGTAAGAGATTCCTGCTCAAGACAGACCAAGATTGAGACACAGTGTTGGCAGAATCAGAGGTGATGGGAGAACCAGACTCACCTGAGACAAAGATGAGCGAGAAATGCTGCCCCATGCCAAAGCCAGGCCTTAGCCAAGGTTTACTGGTAGAGGGATGGGGAGCTGCCAGAATTGGCAGAACTGAAAGAGCTGTGGGATGCTGGCTCAGAGCCAGAGTCAGGGCCCATTAAGGCTGATGGTCAGAGGGTCTGAAAGCATGGCAGATAAGCTGTCCTGACTAAAGAGCTGTATGTTGTATCCAACCAGAATTGTAACCTGTTACTCCCCTAACAAATCCCACAATCATGAGTATTGTTGGAGTTCTGTGTGGTTATTGCAATCAACTAGCAGAACCGGTAGCAGAGTCCTTGGGAGGGATGCTTGATGTCAGAACTGGGACAGGAGGAATGAGGACATATCTGACCTCACAGGAACTGACTCTGTGCTGCTGATGTTGTTGGTGGGGGCTCTTTCCCCTCACAGAGTAAGTGGAGGTCAAATATCACTACCTCCATGCTGGCTGCATTGCTTCCACATGTCACCAGGCACTGCTGAATGGATTTCAGTGCAAAACTACCCTATGTGACAGAACACTTCTGCCCTGGAGAGTTTTCCTGGCTAAAAGGAGCCCAGGTGGATGTTGCTGAACGTGCTAGGCTGCAAGTGGAAAGCTCTAATGTTCAAATTCACCAGGCAATTCATAGGAGAAACACAGAGAGCCTCTTATAAGATTTACAACATCAGTTACGCATTGGAAGATCCTTCTAAACTGGTATTGACTTGGCAGCAGGGGGTGGTCTTTACAGAAGCACACTGGAGGTCTTTCTCCCATGGAGCTGCTGGGTGGGTTAAACCACCTAACTTTAGTTGAAAGCTGAGCACTTAACTACTTGTGCCACCATGACATCTGCTCCCCACATATGTACACATATAAACAACTATCTTAGAGGAATCCCTTACAAATCATTTCCCTTTCTGTGAGAAAAATTTTATTTGAAGTTCAAAGTGTCTTCCAATTTTGTTTGGTTTATTTTCTATCTATTAAATATAAGACATGCATAAAATATAATACTTTCATTTTAAATAGCTTCTATAATACAATCTTCACAGTATTTTTTTTCACTTCTATTTAGTAATCTATCTACTCACATACATATACAGAGAAAGAAAGGCATTTAGAATGTTCATCTGCTTTTTAATATTGGTACTTGTCAGGTGAAGGCTTTGATGGAGATTTAAATACAGTCAGCTTTTTTTAAAGTTTATATTATGCATGTGGGATTTCAGAATTATCAGAGGTTTGTCCCATAAAAAAGGTAATATACCAATTTAACTCTAGTGACTAGCAGAAATATTGATAATTCTTAAACTTTCTCTTTGTACTTTTTATGAACTTTAAGATTTCCTCAGAGAATGAAGAGACTGAAAACACTGATTATCACTATTTATCATTGTCCCCTCTGTGAGTGGATGCCCCAGTTCTATTAATCACATCTAGCTGGCTCACGGCCCCTGGGCACTCCTTAGGCTCTCCCTCGCTTCTGCCATTCTTGACAGAATGTCACTTTTTTATTCTGTCAAGTGTCAGTCACTCTGGTCATACCTGCCTGGTTGGCTTCCAGAAGACCCTGCTTGCTAGACAGGGGGGTCCATGGACAACTCTGCTTTCTCATCTTAGCTTTGGGTCCAGCACCATTTGAAGTTCCATTCACCTCATGTTTTTCTCTCAACAAGTGACCTTACTTCCTGTTCAACTCAGGAAATTGAAGGGCCCCTCCATTCTCATGCTCTACAAATCCCACATTTATATGGGTCACACCCAAAAATATGACTCTAGCCTGTAGTTTTCAGTTTTCCTTCTGCTCCTCCCAATGCCTACTCTTTTTTTTTTTAATTTAGGTTGTTTATTTTTCATTTCAATGAACATCTACAGAGATTTTGGGATTCCATTCATTCATTGTTGCACCCTTCTCCCCACACAAACTCCTCCCCCCTCCCCCGCATTTGCTCCTCTCCTTGTAAAGCAAAAGAAAAACTCCCTCATACCAATGCCTACTCTTATGACAAGCTTCTCTTTAAAACTTGATAAAAAAAAAAAGGAACTCTACTGAGTGTTAGAGAGGGAGGCTGAGATTCCCAAGAGCTTGGTTTCCCTTTTGCCCTTCAGCTTCTTTAAGTCCAAAGGCACAGGGTAAGACTTAAGGCTTGGAAGAACACAGTTTTAGAGCCCGCCGCTCTCTCTGGTGGCATCCACACCACAAAGTTCTTTAAAATGAACAGAGCAAAATGGGCCTCTATCCTTTTCCAAAACCTAGTTCCACTGTTTTTGTAAATGGCATTATCTGTCACCAGATCACTGTTCTGACCTAAGCAGCTCTCCTCTACTTCCCATGCCCAGTGCTACCCTCCACCACAAGAGTGCTACCTTTTCAAGCAATTTTTTACACTCTTGCTGACTCATTTTTCAAGATGGGTTCCACCTCAGATACCAGACTACAATTCTGGCTGCATGCTTTAGACTTCACAATCTCATCAAACATCAGCACATAAAGCACTCATATATCTGTTTTTCCTTCTTTTAGGGCAGGGGAGCAGGTGCTCTAATTTAGTCATAAGATAAAGAATCAAATCAACTTGTTTTCACTATTAATACGTTTAAACATATAACCCAAAAGATAACAGTCTCCACACCAAAAAAAGATGGGGCTCCAATAGCAGATATATCTGGTTTTGTCTGCTTCCCTTTGATGTCTCAAAGCTATTAATCCACAGTTCAGAGTGTAGGTGCCAAGGCAGGTTTATCCTCCTCTGCTTCCTTGCAGTTAGATGCATAAGTATTCTAGAATGTGCTCTGCTCCTCAGTAGTGTCTTCCTCCACTGTGGCCCAAAGTCTAAATGTTCTACCTATCGATGTCTCTTACCTTTATCAAGTCCTCATGTATATTTAGCTTTACAAAACTTATACTGATCTTTCCTGGGCCTGATTCTCCTCATGGTAATAGCTGACTTTCACTGAAGCAATGATTCAGTTTCCAGATGTTTTCACATCTGTGGTCTCACTTCATGTCCACAGTAATCCCCTGAGAGGTGTGAAGAGTGGATCCAAGATGCAAGACATAAATGTGGCAAAGATGGCAGAGTTACTGTGAGGCATAGATCAGCTTGCTAGCCACATAGCCATCCTACTCCTGCACTTAGACCATCTGACCTCAGTTTCATTTGTCTAGTTCTCTAATTTATAAGCTGGAAAATAAGCTCTCTTTGGAAAGGGCTTCCTCACTCTTTGTTCCCATTTCTTTCAGTACTTGGCATGGGGTCTACCACTCGACAGAAATTTAATAGTCAAAATGGCAACAGCAGCTGTGCTCATGAAAGACATCTGGTCCAGAAGCTGTGCTCCTCCCATGACATCTTTATGGAAACATGTACATACAGGAAGTGCTATGACTTCACGTGACAGACGAGGTCTGACCTTCACAGTGGAGAAGTCAGGCAGTGGGGTGTCCAGCTGTGGAATCACACTCCTAATCAAACTGACCTGAAAACACCAGGTGGGCACAATGTTTTCCCAGGAAGACCTTTCATGTGCCGCAGACAGTGCACGACCACCTCCAAGTAAAACTGGGGGAGATGATTTCCTTTTATCTTCCTTCTAATTTTTTTATGATAGCTTTTATTCCATTCAACACGTAAAACTGAGGGTTAGTTTTTCTATTTCTTTAATGAAGGATGTGGGAATTATGTTCAGGATTATATTGAATATATAGATTGCATTGGATAACAATGACATATTATCAACATTAAGTCTTCCAATTTATGAAAATAAAATAGTTTTCCTTTTATTTAAGGTGTCTTTTATCTTTTTTAATCAATGATTTAGAGTTGTCATATAAATCTTTCATGTGGCTGGTTAGATGTCTACTTATTTTCTTACATGCTATTATAAATGGAATTGTTTCTCTAATTTACCTTTTAGATGTCTAACTACTGGTGTTTAGAAATGCAACTGATTTTTATTTGTTGACCTTGTATTCTGCAATTGTTCTAAGTTCATCCACTGACTATAGAAATTTTCTTATGGACTCTCTTGGATTTTCTACATACAGGATCACATCAACTGTGAACAAAGATCCCTCCCCCCCATTAGGTTACGTTTTATCCTTTTTCTTGTCTTACTGCTATGGCTAGGACTGCTAGTAGAGAAATAAATATAAATGGTAACTCTTCTTTGTCTGATACTAAAATGCCACCCCAGCTCTCCTGGTTATTGTTTGCATGGAGTTCTACCTCTCTCTTCTTTCACTTTCAACCAACTTGTATCTTTGCACAAGTGTATATGATTAGTTTATTTTTGTAAATATTTATTAATTAAATATTTATTTATTTATTTAGTAAATACTGTCTGCCTTTTGACTAGAACATCTAGTTCACTGAGTCATTGTCATTACTGGTCAGATGTGCTCTCTAATGACTTTTTGTTTGTTTTTGTATTCTAAGTCTTCTTTATCTAGCCCATTGGCACTGCTTGCTTTTATGTTCCATTGGTTTATTGAACTTTTTAGTTCTGTATTATATATTTCTTAATGGTAACCATCAATGTTACACTTAAGAACTTGTATTTGTAACACTTTAGGGTCAATTGGTACAAACTTAACTTTAGGAAAACATAAATTCTCTATAAATTTCTCACTTTCCACTTTTGCTATCACATTTACATCTTTATACTTTATGTGTTTTGCATAATAATTTCATTCTTGTTTTTTATATCTTCATTATTAAAACACAAGAAAGACAAAACATTTAGGATGTTTTCAGATACCTTTACAGAATACCATCTTCCTAGCTCTTGTCCTGTTCCATTCTTTTTCTTCGGTCAGGAATCTTTCTTTTTATGTATAGGTTTGGATTATTTTCTATCTTCTTTTCCATCAACAGAATTCCTGTGAGTGAGAGTTCTTGTTGCACAGATCACATGACTGTGAACCCTTAGCTTCAGTGTGAGATTTCTTAATTTTTAAGAGACTTGTTTAAAAAAATGTAAAAGATATTTAAGATATGTCAAGCTCACTACTTTTCACTTTAGAAAAAAATTAAAATGTCTTCCCGTTTGCTACCCCCAATTATTTATCATTACAGTCTAAAACACAAGGGTAACCTTTTTTTTAAGAGACAGCAAACTTTTAACTCTTACCAACAAATTTCTGAGGCATAGAGCTCTTACGTTTGGCGACGTTACTTGCTAGTCTGTCCAGCACGAGCGATCTCTCTGATCCTATCTTGCAGAGGTCTTCTGCCATTTCACTGTGATTAGTTTCTTCTTTAATGACTAAAGTCAAAGACAGTTAAAGAGCCAGTTTAGAAATGCTTAGCATTAAAAGATTCAGCTGCATCCAGTGTTAAATCTGACATTTGTTAAGTACTTCCTCGATGCATAATCTTAAGAGATTATGTCTAATCTTCACGGCAAACCTATCATCCAGCCTGAGCAGATTACAGCAATAGGGAGCACCAATGCGTCTTACACTGATTCTAACTGAACATTATTCCTTAGAATCAAAATGTGACTGAATAATTGTGCTTCACTTAAGAGTTCCTTTTTAACTTTCTAAAATATTTCCAATACACTAACGCAGTAATCCTGACAACAAGCCTCTTAGGATCGAAGAACTGCCACATCTAGAGATGAACAAACAGGGCAACTCCATCAATCTGGTCAGCATTCAGACATACTGAGAGCATCATGGATTCCCCAGACTTCATATCACATCAAAGCAGGTTTGGAACCCTCCCACAAGCCCCTCACAGAGACGTGAACGCCAGCTGCTTCCTGAGTATTGTATAAAATCTAGAGATTACAGAGCAGATGGATGGTTGCACTATTTCTCATCAATCTCTATTCCACATCTGCCACCCCCCCGCCCATACCTAGCATCGTCCCTTTCTTTCTATAATTGAAGATACACTGTTGTATTCTTTATCACTTCGTTTATACTTCTAGTTTTTGTGGTTATATTTTTTCCCCAAAATAATCATTGAATTTTCCTGCAATTTATTCATGTTTAAGGGGTTCCAGAAGTATTTGCAGTACAATTTTTCAAATAGCTAATGAACTCTTCCAGTACTGTTTTGGAATAGCCCACTGAAGCTCCAGAGCCTTGTTTCCTCCTCCTCTCAGGTAACACACATTGCTTTCAATAGAGTATACTGCAAGTTTATCTACTTCTTGAATTGATTTGTCTGTCTAGTGTTCAAATAGTTCCACATGTTACAACTAAATTTGATAGATTATTTTTTCAAATTTCCAATTTATTTTTCAGATACCTTTCCTATATATGGTTTCTAATCCCAATAAAAGGAACTGATTTGAATGGGTGAATTGTGTTAGTAAAGAATAGAGTTGCACAATTTGATGGGTGAGTAGGGTGAAGGGGCTGGGAAGGATCTTTTGTGAAAAACAATGTATTAAAACTTTGTAAATAAATCAGAATAAAAAATATTTACTGTATCAGAGACTACCAGAAGGACAAAGAAATTTATCTTGGGAGAAGTATAGCTACAATGATTCTTAGAAATAGGGGGGTAGACTTTGCCTCACATTCTTTATATGTGTTATTGTCTTTGGAGACAAACATCATGCTTAATTTAAAGTTGTTGTTGTGCACCATAGAGTAAGAAATGAGCCGTAGCTGACCCTCCGGCGAGTTTTTAAGAGGAGTTAATCACGTGGGAGGAGACTGCCCATCCTTCTCCTGTGGAGCTGCTGGTTGATTAGAACCATGTGCCTTTGGGATTGCAGCACAGCTTCTTACCACGAGACCAAAATAGAGGGATAGCAAATGAAGAAGCCTCTCAACAAAATGGACTGAAACAGTGGCCACAAAAGCAGGCTCAAACTCAGCAATGATGGCAAAGATGGTACAGGTAGACAGTGTTTCATTCTGCTGCACCCAAAGCCACTATGAGAAGCAACTTACTTAATAAACTCTAAAACAATAGTTCTAATATTGTTATGTGCTGTGGAGTCATCTGTGATTCATAGCAACTTTATGTACAATAGCACCAAATCCTGCTCTATCCTGTGCCAATCTTATTGTCTCTGATACACCTACCCCCATTACCCAAGTCACTGAATCAATCCATCTCATCGAGGGTCTTCCCCTCGTGCTGTCCCTCCACCCTCCCATGCATGACGTCCCTCTTCAAGGACTGATCCCTCCTTGCAGCATGTCCAAAGTATGTCAGACGAAGCTTCAGAATCCTTGCCTCCAAGGAGGAGCCTGGTTTTACCCTCTCCAGGACAAACCTATTTGTTCTCCTAGCAATCCATGATATATTCAATACTCTTTCAACACTACAGCTCAAAGATACCAATTCTCCGTCTATCATCCCTAGTAATTGTCCAGCTCTCAATTTCTCAAACTAATGAATTAGAGGAAGATGAAAACCGTGTTCTATTGTCAACGAACATACTTCCCTCTCTTCTTTTCTCCCAAGTTTTCTGCCTTGTCTCAGTATATTAGAAATTTTCTTCTCCATGACCTACAAATTACTTGCTGAGATTATTTCTCAGTATTTATTCTTCATTACTATTATAAATGCCACTTTAAAAACCATATATCCTAAAATGGTTATCATTGCTTATTTTATGAAACTTTTAGAAAACATAAATGTATATTTATTATTTAATAAGCAAGTAGCTATTTTATGTGACTTAGAAAACATAAATATATATACAAAGATATATATATATATACATAAATATATAAATAACTACATGCTTCTGGAAACTCATAGAAAAGCTTCAGGTCTTTTGTTCATAGGGTTGCTATGAGTTGTGCTTGACTCAACAGCAATCAAAAACAACATATATAGCATATGCTACATATATTCTGCATCCTGATTGTTTTTATTGAAGACACACACAAGTAAAACCCACAAAATCCAATCTCCCCAGATGTAAATTTACTCTCTCAAGCTAATCTGCTTCCTTCCATATTTTCCTCTTATCTGAAACAGCAAGGAAATGTGGCTGCCTGGGCACCACTGGGTGTCATTACATGAGCTGTGACCACAGAAGCTGGTTACAGTAAAGGATGAAGAGGCCAACGCTCTCCAATCACTGTCACTCTTGCAGCTTGCATCACAACTGGAACACTTAAGGCCTAGGGAACTCCCCTACCTTTTACATTATTTAGGAAATTGTAACTATTGACCTAAAAGTCTCTTAGAAATAAATTGATTTTTAGAAAAAGAAATCTCTTTACACAACACACACACACACACACACACGCATATTTATATTTATATATTTGCCTAATCCCAACTTAGCCACAACCTACAGTGTACTGGAGACTAGGAGATGACCATGGGGAGGGCAGCCATGGGAGGCATGCAGGAAAGCACAAATTCCATCTGTGTAACATGACCAGAAACTTCTCACCCTGCTATAAGCCTTCCAAATCCCAAGTGAAATCTTAGAAGACTTTGCATTTAAAGTTATTTTATGGATTCCTTCAACACCCAAAGTTACTTTTGTCAGCACTTACAGCTGATAGACTGGAGCTAGGTGTTGGCAGGGAGAGAAAATGGTCTCTGTGTCAGTGGTGACTACAGTCACTTTGCACAGCTGATGAAATATCGTCACAACTTGTGCCTGTCTGTCCTGCTCTGGTTCCATCTGCAGCCACTCTGAAGACAAAATGACTACCTATTTTGATATGGGAATTCTCTACCAGAAGCCTTCTAATCCCTCCTGTATTAGGTGGTAAAGAGATTACTTTGTTTTCCCTATAAATTCTTTGGTTTTTTAAAAATCATTCATTGTTGCACATTTTCCTCCCTCTCCTCCCCTTTCCCCTCCCCTAGTTCATTTTGTAATGCACCTCGTATTCTAGATTGTTGTCCAAAGACATTCTTTCAATATCTCAAATAATTTGATCACCAAAGAGAATAAACATGGACATTTTAGGGTTAAATTCATCCTAGCCACAGGGTAACAGTTAATATACCTAACTGGCATATAAATTTGTAGACATATCACTTGTGGGGAATTACATCTACAATGCCAATACTTCAATGACTAGGTATTCAAGACTTGAGCATGGTAAAGATTGTGAAAATGGCCAAGTTTGATCTGTGGTTCATAGGGTTGCTATGAGTTACAGTCGACCCAATGGCACCTAACAATAATAACACCACTACGTCAACATTCTTGGCACCAGCAGCCAGGAAATAAAAAAAAACCGTATTGCTATGGGAAAGTCTGCAGTTAGGGACCTCTCTAAAGTACTCAAGAGCAACGGTGTCTCCCTGGAGACTAAGGTGCGCCTGATACAGGCCATGGTCTTTGCAATCACTTGTTATGTGTCAGAGAGTTGAACAATGACTAGGGAGGATAGAAGGAGAATTGACACCTTTGAGCTGTGGTGCTGGAGAAGAGTACTGAATGTTCCATGGACTGCCAAGAAAACAAACAGATTCATCCTAGAGAGGGTTAAACCAGGCTACTCCTTGGAGGCAAGGATTCTGGGGCTTCGTCTGACATACTTTGGACATGTTGTAAGGAGAGGGACATCATGCTTGGTAGGGTAGAGGGACAGCGCAGGAGGGGAAGACCCTCTATGAGGTGGATTGAGTCAGTGACTGGGGTAATTGGGATGGGTGTGTCAGAGGCCATGCGATTGGCACAGGATAGAGCAGGGTTTAGGGCTGTTGTACATAGGGTCACTATGAGTCGTAAACGACTCGACAGCACATAAAAACAACAATAACAAACCATATATTTGGAATGTGCTCACATCTACTCTTTTCTCAGGTATCTCCCCAAGCTCTCCTGTGAGGTCGGCTAGGATGAAATGATCACTCCCATTTAAGTATTAAGCCAAGGGTGATAACCAAGAAAAGATTTAGAGATGAGACTCAAATCCAGGTTTCTGTAAAAGAGTGCTGGGTTCCTGGTGTGGATTTCACTGTGGCTTATTTTTCTAGTGATCAAAACAGCAGAGGGCAAACAATACACCCCACCCATTTCTTGTGTTCATTTTGCTATTTCAATTCCATGTATATAATTTTCAAGGGAAATTCTTAGTATTGTATTCAATAGATATTGCTGCTGCAAATAATTTGTTCTCAATAAAATATAGTGAGTGAAGGAATGGTTCATTAATAGTATAAAATATGTCATCAGAAATAGTATTTTTTAAATAGAAAACAGTGCCTAGTTCTTTGTATTTCATTCTAAAGGAACATAGTCAATTACTCTTATCCTATAATTTTCCACCCAGATTGTAGAATCTGGCTACAAAATGATAATGGTTAAAAAATTAATTTTAGATAAACCTCAAACTCACTGCTATTGCTGTGTCAGAACCAACCCACAGCTGACCCTCCAGTGGGTTTTCAGAGGCTATAAATTGTATGGCAGGAGACTGTTCATCTGTCTTCCTCAGACTAGCCAGTGGATTTGAACCTCCTATCTTTGGGTTGGCAGTAAAACTCCTTACCCACTAGATCACCAGAACCACATACTGTCTACATCACTCAAATCAACATGCATGTGAATCAATATCTAGGGCTCCACCTGACCATTCTTTGCTTCCTCTTCTCATCTGCTTTTAATCATCTAAGCATGCACCAGTAAATCTTCCTTTATGAACAATCTATTCAAGTCAGAAAGCTTGAAGAGGCTTAATAAATTATCAAATATTACTTTAACACTATCCCTGGGTGCAGTGATGGTCCTTTCAGTCATAGTGCTAAACGCATAGTGCTATTAAAGAGGAGAGTTTTAGATGAGCTATTTATAAATTAGTTATCTCCCAAAAAGTTAGACACTTTTTTATCACACTGCCAGCCCGACTCAATCCAACTTCCTTCAGCTCTCTCTGCTCATATTCACATTATTTAAGATTAGAGGTCAAGAGCTATCTTGTTATACAACATACAACCAAGCACCAATGACTGGAGTAAAAGCAATCTTTAGTTCAATCATTTGACAACCTTACCACGGATTATCAGGGTTAAAATGCATGCAAACTTCCACAGGCTTCAACTCATGTACCTGGCAGGAACAGATACTGTGCCCACAGTCTAAACTGATGGGGGGAAAAGCCAGCCTGAAGGCTTCTAATTTGATCATCTTTAGAGAAACGATATTGTTTTAACACAAGATTCTGTATCTTATTACTAAACACAAAGAAGCAATCAGTAGTTCTGGTTTAATAAAACCCCAAACCTCAAACAAAAACTCCCCAAACTTTTGCAGGTCATTGCTACCTGAGAAGTTTCCTCTGATTCTGACAGGCAGAGATCATAAAACCACACTATTCTGAGTGAGGGTAGGCTTGGTCAGAGGATGACTGAGAAGCGGCAAATGCACTGTGCTCCTCTGGAAGGTGTGCCAGAATGTCCTTCCAATAACCCAGCACTGGACGCACATAGGACTCTGGTCCTGATGACAATGCTGTGTGTGGAGGATCCCTGTTGCCCCTGCTGCAGGCCCAGGGAGCCGGCTGGGGCAGCAGCCCCCTGTGCTTACCTGGGTACAGCGTGCCAGGAAGGCCCATGCTTTGCAAGTAGTTGTGGCAGCGCTCTTTATGTTCCTCTAAAGAGCTTCGCTGTTTATAGCTTCGGCCACAATATCCACATTTGTGAGGTTTGCCAACTGCAGAAAACACAATTGAGTTTAAGACCCCAATTAAATGTTGTCTTTATGTGCCACGGGAATGCATGCAATACAGTTATTACCGAAAAAGTGAAAAATAAAAATATCAGCTCTTGAGAGTCAAAGGCTTAATGAATGAATATAAAAATGCTTAATGCCCAGGTGGGTAGCTGACTGTACCAAGAATACCCATGACTCTTATTTAGCTTTAATCTGTCCACTGTACTGAGTTTCCTGGGTGTCCTATAGGTAAGTCTGAGAAGCCTGTGTTCATGTATTCAAACCTGGGGAAATGACCATGACAGTATTACTATGTAGATGTGGAAGGCTAGTCAGGAGCTTGAGAAACCCTGGTGTCATCTGGATTTCCTGGAAAAGCTGGCCTCTGGTCAGGTCCATGCTGGGGCCCATCCAGTACAGCACAAGTGCTAGAATGAATTTAACTGTTGTGACTTCAATTTCAGTGTTAGAAAAGTAACATGAGAAAACCATGGACAACAAAATTGCTTTAATGAGATAAGCATTTCAGTTGAAACTGTATTTTATTGTTCTAACTTGAAAGAACTCTGCTGTCTCCCCAAAGACTTTCATGGTGACATAATTTCTGGAGGAGCCCTGCCCAACAGAACTTCCTGTGAAGATGAAAATATTCTCTAACTATACTGTAATCGATCTGGTTCAAGGGTGTACGCCAGGGATGCATCCTGTCTCCATACCTTTTCAACATGTATGCAGAGCAGATTATCCGAGAGGCTGGGCTCTATGAGGAGAATTGTGGCATCAGGGTTGGTGGAAGATCTATTAACAATCTGCGTTATGCAGATGACACAACCCTGCTTGCTGAAACTGAGGAGGACCTCATGCACTTGCTGCACAGGGTCAAGGACTGCAGCCTTCAGTATGGACTGAGGCTCAATGTCAAGAAGACAAAGATTCTCACCACTGGACCAATTGGCAGCGTCAGGATGGATGATGAAGAGATTGAGATTGTTCACAGCTTCAGTTTGCTCGGCTCCACAGTCAACACTCTTGGCACCAGCAGTCAGGAAATCAAAAAGCGTATCGCGATGGGAAAGTCTGCTGTTAGGGACCTCTCTAAAGTACTCAGGAGCAACAGTGTCTCTCTGGAGACTAAGGTGTGCTTGATACAGACCATGGTATTTGCAATCGCTTGTTATGCATCAGAGAGTTGGACAATGACTAGGGAGGACAGAAGGAGAGTGGATGCTTTTGAGCTGTGGTGCTGGAGAAGGTTACTGAATGTACCATGGACTGCCAGGAAAACAAACAGATTCATCTTGGAGAGGATTAAACCAAACTGCTCCTTGGAGGCAAGGATTCTGGGGCTTCGTCTGACATATTTTGGACATGTTGCCAGGAGGGACGGGTCCTTAGAGAGGGACATCATGCTTGGGAGGGTGGAGGGACAGCGCAGGAGGGGAAGACCCTCTATGAGATAGATTGATTCGGTGACTGGGGTAATCGGGATGGGTGTGTCAGAGGCGGTGCGGTTGGCGCAGGATAGAGCAGGGTTTAGGGCTGATGTGCATAGGGTCGCTATGAGTCGCAAACGACTCGATGGCACATAACAACAACAACTATACTAGGCAATATGGTAGCCCTTGGGCTGGTCAATACACAGCCACCAGTCACATGGTAGCTACCAAGTACCTGGAATGTAGCCAGTGTGTCTCAAAATTGGAATTTCTACTTTGGTTTAGTTTTGATTAAAATGTAAATTTAAATACAGCACATGGCCAATGGTTACTGTACTGCACTAAATTTAGTTCTTCCTGAATTTTTCTCAGTGGTTAAAAATAGCTAAGAATGTAGAAGTTACTTATAATCCCTCAGGAGATGGATGAGCAATCTCCTCCCATACAATTTACTGCCTCTGAAAACCTACTGGAGGATCAGCTATGAGTAAGTTCCCACTCAATGGCATCCAACAACAAGAAGAACAAAGTAGGTAACATTGTAAGAGATGGAATGGATAAAGCATTTCAGTCACTTACTCAAGTAATATACAGTTTCATGCTAAGTGTAGCATCTTTTTCTACCCCTTGTTCAGGTTACTTGATTCACATTTTTAAAATACTACATAAAAGTCAAAACTGTCCAAATGAAAGTGGAAAAATGGTTGAGCCAATGCTTGTGTCATTTAAATAGCTTTCTCAGGTGAAAAGCTATGGATTAAGATGACTAAGATGAAAAGCAAAATTGGACTTCTAAAACATTTAATAAAGAAATAGAGATATTTCCTATCTATAGAAAGTGATGTACTCCCAACACCAGGAAGTAACATTCAAATAGAAGATATTGCAAAAAGCCTGCACATTTTATTGAGTTCTGCTTTTAGAAATTAATACAGAGTCTCTTTCACTGTCCTTTCCTGGAAAAGTTTCAACCTTAAAAACTCTCATGATCAAAGTCACTAGTCTATAGAATATGACATAACCACCCATCCATTGCTACCGAGTGGATTCTAACTGTAAGACAGAACAGAACTGCCTCACAAGGTTACCACTGCTATCTGTCATGTGCAGGTTGGCACACTTTTTTCTCTCAGGGAGCAGCTGGCAGATTCAAACATCCAACCTTTTGGTTAACAGTTAAATACCAGGCCACCTAGAAATGATATAGTATCTGAATATCCATTCTTCTGAGGAAATAATTGGTTTTATCACTGGAAGATGAGAAACAAGTTTACTGCAAGAAATTTAACTACAGAATACCTTAAAGTCTATCCAAGATGCAAGAAAGAACATCTCTACTTACAACTTAAAACAAAACAAAACAAACAAACAAAACCCCACCAAAAAGAGTGAATAAGGCAAAGGGATCCACTCTCTACTTTGTAGGTTGAGCCAAGTCATTCCTGCAATCAATGTGAGACAAATTCTACAGCTATAATAGCACTATGTTTTGGTCTCTGGAAGAATTTGTCAGGAAAAGTTGTGTGCCTGATGTTTCTAAATGGAACAGGAAAGTGTCCATCCCAGGGAACATACTGTGGCCACATTTGCGTTTCTAGATAAATTCCAGTAAAATGACTCTGGAGAACACACTTTGCTGGTTTTGGTGTTCAGGGTCACCTTACAATATCTGAGTCCCCCCCATCCCTGGGTCCATAATGGTTTTCTCATGAGTGTTACTCACGTGCTTATCAGTAATTCTGTAATAGAAATAAACTGTCTGTAATGTACCACTTGTTACACATAATTACTCAAGTAATTAGTCATACTTAGGGCGAGATGACAACATGCCTTGAATAAAATAACCAGGCAAGCAGCCAGAATCACATTAACTCATAGTTAGTGAGTTAGATGTTGCTAATTTGTAAGAGGAAAGAAAAGAGAGTGACATCACTTTCAATGAACAAGTATTTATTTGTGGTTTGTGCCTACATAGGAAGCTATACCTGCTACCAATCTCAGCACAAGGATTTGCTGAATTGAGTTTGTCTACTCAAGACCTTACATTTGTGAAGTATCTCCCCTAGAGTGTGATCATGTTTTAGGTAGACTCGACACAACTGTAGGGTCTCTGGCTGCACCTGAAGCCCCTGAGGGCAGGCTCATTGTTTAGTTTCCTCACCACACCTCCTCCATGAGGCAGGAAAACACCACATTGTCATCCTAAAGCAGAGACTGAAACCTGATTCCAGCCATGTCCTTCCTGCCCTCCTGCAGCAGGCCTGTCCTCAGCCCCAAGAACGTCTGTCCACTGACCAGGATGGGGCAATGCACTTACTGCCCTTCATCACTGCTGACTCATCTTCTCAATGGTAAGAGCAGATTTTAGCTCAGTGAAGCTCCTTTGGAGATTTTGAAAATCACTCACCATCATGATTTTCTAAGAGGCGTTATGGAAGGCTTCTTTGTATTTAAAAGCAGGAGGGAATGTAGGAACCGAGGAGTGGGCCAGTCTGGACACCTATGTCAGGATTAGCTACAAAACCTTCCTAAGATTCCCTCCATCTTGTCACCAACAGTTGGGGAATCCCCCTCAGGTCCTACTGACTAGGAGAAACACAAAGATGTTGTCAAAACTTACAAGAATTTGCACATCTTTTTCTATGATCACTAAAGAAATGACATTCACTTGGAACTTCTTTAAGGTAAAATTTAGACACCTTCCAGCCTTGACTCAGCCCCTCCACTGGACAACTTTCCTGACACCTGTAGTGCTCACTTCTGCTCCCTTCACCCTCTCAAGTCCTTCTGTGGTGGTCCTTTTATAACACAGTTTTACTTTTTTATTATACCTGTCTTCCCCACTTAAAAATTAGTTCCCTGTGGTGCTCAGTGAAGTGTGACAAAGAGATGATCAGGATGAAGAATCCTCTAAAACCCCAAGGATTAAACACACTCATCATTTTCTGGGCAAGAGATGGATGAGGCACGTCCAAACCTTCCTCCAAGGACCACAGAGCTGTTACTCTCTTGGGGGTAGGTTCCTCCTTATTGGGCTCTTCTGTGATGGCAAACTCTAGAGAAAGGGAATGGAAGTGCTCATCTCCTATGCACCATGCTCATGGCAGGTGCTCAGCACATCTGTGTTGACCAGATGAAAGACTATAAGCTCCATGAGGACACAGACATATGGTGAAAGTTCCATGTTCTCTATGAGGTACAGCACCCCAAATACTACCCAGTGAAAGATGTGGAAAAACACCTGTGCCAAGAACTGTTCTTCCTCTAAAATGTGAGATAATGATGGTAGACAGGCAAATAGATACTGAGAAAGTCTCATAAAGGAGCAGGCTTAATTAAGGCTGGATTTGCTTCACAGATTGGGAAAACTTTAAAAAAAAAATGACCAGGCATTTATGCAAATTATGATTGGAGACTTCTGGATGGCAGAAGGCATATGTTAATACATATGTTAAAAAGAAATGCTGTCATCCCAAATCTGACACCTATCCAACCTGGCCTTTCCCAGCCATGGACATGATTGGCTTCCAACACCAGAGCCACAGGCCAGGGTGAGACTCATCTGCCTGGTTTACACCCAAAAGAAGGAAACTGAGGGTCCCAATTTTTTTTGTCTGTTCAAGGAGGTTTCACTTATTACTCTTAAAAACAGTCTGTGTGTTGTGGCTGTACTATAACCAACAGTGTGGGCAAATGGTTTAAAAATCTGACTAATGCAAAAAAAAAAAAATAAACCAACAAAACCCACAACACAACACAACACAACAGTGTGAAGTGGCAATGGGTGAGGTTTAGCAATCAACAATATGTCTACTGGGGGACTTGCTGAACACTTGTGTGCACCCAGAGAAAAGTATTGCTGGAGGAATCCTCTGAAGAAGCCACTTATCTGGCAAAGTGCAATGGGGGAAGCTCTCTAGAGATACTCTACTTGAAGTTGGGCTTCCTAATGTGAATATGTGAGAAAGAAAAAGAGAGTATGCATGTGTGTGTGCGTGTGTGTATGAGTGTTCACTCCTCCGCGCTTTTCCTCTGGTTTACTGGTAAAAGCAGGCCATACTGGGAGTGAGGGTGGGAAGAGGCAGCAATGCCAGTGTAACCAGGAAGCCCAGGTGCTGCTGACAGACCCTGACTCATGCCGACCCATGTGTGTCAGAGCAGAGAGCAGTGTGCTCCACAGACTTTCAATGGCTGATTTTTTTTCTTTTTAGTAGATTGCTCAGCCTTTCCTCTGATGGATGTCTTTGTAGACTTGGAAACTCTACTTTACCGTTAGCAGTTGAGTGTGTTAAACATTTAAACTACCCTTTCAAAGGTAGCTGAATTTTGTAATTTGAAATACCTTTCAAAGCAAATGGTAGACAAAGGACTTCACCCTGGGACGTCAAGGCTGGCCAACAACGAAGTGTTCAACATTGCCTATTCAAGGTAGAGAGGTACCCAGCACCCAGGATGCCCAGGAACCTACCGGAGTGTGTCCTCAGGTGGCCCGTGAGGGCATCCCTCCGGCGACATGCATAGTTGCAGAGATGGCACTTGAAAGGCTTCTCCCCAGAATGTAACTTGATGTGGCGAAGGAGGTTGCCCTTCTGTGTGAAGGAAGCACCACACTGATTACACTGGAAAGGGCGTTCCCCTGGAAGAGGGAGAGAGGCACATGAGAATAAAACTCCTACCCGGGGACAAGAGGACCTGATCACACTGGGCAGGACCTTCTCCTGGAGGAGAAGGAGAGGTACAGGAGGCATGTGAGAACAGCCGGGGGACAAGGAGATCTGAGTGGGCGAATATTCTCCAGGAGGAGCAGAGGAAGAGGTGCATGGGAACAAAGTCCTACCCAGGGACAAGGGGACTTCAGTGAGAAAGTTGTTCCCACTGGCGCGCTCTGACTTCTACCGGCTGCAGGTTTGATAGAACATGAGGCTTTCAGACTAAACCTGCCAGCTCCTTAACGCTTCACTGGTTGGGTCAATTTGATCTGAAAATCTAATTTTTTCCCCTAAATCAGAATGGCACATCACAATGCAAATTCAAACTCATTTAAATAAAGTGACTGCAACATTTTGTGATGAAGAGCCACTCTTCCTGATCAGCAGTTTTGGAATAAACCAATATCCAATTTTGCGTGTTGTGGCATTTGGTGGGGTTTTTAATGTGGCTTTTTTCAAAGGGTCTTTAAAATATGCCACTGAAGCAGCAAAATAAAAAGGAAACTCATTAAAAATGCATTTCAGGATCACAAGTTCATTTCAGCGTTACATTCTTATATTTAAATGAAAGGCACTTCATTATAACAGTTATAATAACTTCTTTTCATTTACATTTTCCCTGTATTTTCCCTTTCAATTTCTTCTCCATTACCTGTCTGTCCCTAAGCAGGCAAATCAGGAAAGAGACAGAGAGGGAGTGTGAGGGTGAAAGAGAGAGAGGAGGGAGAGAGATTGAATAAAATGAGAAGTTAAGATACTGTGAAGGAAGTCAACCACTTCCAAATCAAAGTCCCAGGTTTCCCAGAGGCCAGGCATGAGAATCAGAGCTGCCTTGAGAATCTTGCTTTTTCTTCCCTCACAAATCCTATAACGTTCAAGTTATTGTTTGTCCATGGTCACAGAAGACAAGTTCTATTTTCAGTATAGATACTCTCAAAGAGGCAAGCTAGTTTATTATTAAGGGATTCTTTCAGGGGTCGTACTATTAAATTTCACAACAACAAAAATTTGCCCCCTTGGTGTGTGGGTGAGCTCACGTTCTTATGTTTTGGATCTAACTAAACAGCAAATGGGTACCCAAAAGAGAAACATAACAATGTATCATTTCAAAGTGAAATGTCTCATTTCAAAACTCTCACGATCTGAATCAGAGAACTTCCTTTGATTCTCACTCAAAAGAGTAATAAAGCACTGTTAGCTTTCAGGAAATATTAACCTTTTTTCTTTTCTAGAACAAGTGCTTATTTAGGGCAAGAGTGATATGTGATCATCATACTGGTGTTGAGGCATCATGCTAAGGTACTTCATAGTGACAATAGAAATACTGACACTAACTAGGATCCTTGAAGAAGGGCATCATGCTTGGAAAGGTGGAGGGACATTCAGGAGAGAAAGACTCTAGATGAGATCTGATACATTCACTGGGGTAACGGGGATAGTTAATTGGAGACAGACTGACTCACGATAAGGCAGGGTTCAAAGCTACTATTCACAGAGTTGCTATGAGTTACAGTCAACTCAACAGCACATAACAACAACAGCAGCAACAGGATATTGTGGATGTTTCCTAAACTTTGCATCTGCAATAAATTTGGCTGACAAGATAGAAGGCGTGTTGAAAGGTACTGGTTAAACCAACTACCTAAAACCTACATTTCTAACTAAACCTGCCTGAAAACACAATCTCTGAATTTTAAGTGCATATATGTGACAGACACCAAGCAGCCCAGAAGACCTGTTCATAAGGAAAATTATTACTTGGAATCAATTCTGACACTATTCATTTGCATGTATGTGAGTATGTGTATTTAACTTCAAGCTGACAAAAGAAACAAACAAAAACCCCAGAGGGTGATGATGGTTCATAGAGAACAGAACGGATTACATCTCTAAGATCTAACACTTAGATCCCTCTACCTAATGGAATAGCGATCTATTTCTTTTTCTCAGAGACCTATTCAGTTCTTATTAGATCCAAAATGGTGCTCACTCTGGGGTGCAACTTCAGGCTGCTGGGGAAGAGCATCAGTTGAGGATATGTCATGAAGAGGCTTATGAGGCTGTGGGATGCTCCTGGTGACACAAATGCTGTAGTGACAAGCCACATGTGGGTGATGCCGGAAAGTCAGCCTCTCTCGGTCTAAAAATCTACAGAAAGTGGGACCATGCAGTGTAACCAATATCCTGGCAGAGGATTGATTATCACAGCCACACCAGCTTTCTGCTGAACAGTACAGGGCGTGATATCTGTTTTCTAATTTGACTAAACAGCTCTGTGTGTCCTTCTGAGTCTTGTGTCATTACCCCTGCTGGCAAGGCCTCCAGGATATCTACTTGCTCCTGACTGTGCTGTGCTGGTATGAATATGGTTTTGGGGTACGGGGACTCCTGACAGGAGGGGGCTCTCAAGTGCGCATCCCTGGGTGTGGCCTTGAGGACTGTCTTGGGATGAGAATGGGAGGACTATCCCTGGGTGTGGAGGGGAGGACTGTCCCCGAGTGTGGACGGGAGGTCTTTCCCTGGATGTAGATGGGAGGATTGTCCCTGGAGCTGCAGAGAGGAAAGCATATCCTTGACTACTCCTTTTGGTCCTGCTAATAATGGGCCTTCTGCCGGCCAGCAGCTTGCTTACTAAATCTAAGGAGAATAAAGCTTCGCCAGGATTTTATTTACCTTTATATCTTTGAGGTAAGAGTTTAAGACTATAAATAAAAATTTCAGCATTTCAGGGTCCCTCCATGAGCATGTCTATGTGAACTGCACTAACTGCAGAGATGGTCTTAATGGACTTCTCTACCAATCACAACTTCTGAGGGGACATGCGGAAAAGGAATATAAAAGGTAATGTGCACTGGGTGAATCTCTGGGGACTCCCAGTCTGTGACCCTTCCCACCCCAGGACTGGTGTTCTGAAAGTGGGCAGGAACAGGGCTCACCAGTATCTTGTAGCATGCAGAGTAACCTTAATTCACTAGTAAAAATCACATAAGGACAAATACTGCATAAGACCATTATTGTAAAAACAGAAGTATAACTAGTGTATGGATATCCAAAGAGGGAAGGGGAGGGGCATGAGCACTGGGGGGGAAAAGGGGGGGACATCACAGGGCAGCAGAATTCGGTTGGTGGAGGGAGGGAGTGAAGAAATAAGGAAAGATCCAGTGAGGATCTGAAAAGACAGATAATAATGGGCATGTATCAATGGTGATTAATTTTTGTAAGATACCATGTATAGGAATGATCATAAGAAACCAATGTGAATGAAAAAAACACCCAACAATTAAAAAAAAAAACCACACAGAACAGTTAAACAACAATAACAACAAAACCCAACACAAATGGCAACATTACACATGGGCCTCACCAGATGGACTGCATTAGAACCAGATTGAGTACATCTACAACTATAGAAGGAATCTTTGGAGCAGCTCAAGGAACGTACAAGCCAAAGGAATGAGTAGCTTAAGGAGAAACCACTGTCTACTTGACCTTTAGATAGTTCTGTAAACGTAGCTAGAAACCAAAAGAGGAAGGATTCCTCTGCCCCAAAACTATTCACTAAAACTTAAAACCCCACCAAGTCTAAGAGAACTCAACTAAGCTTCAATGTGACCAGCTGGGGGCATTTAAACAAACTACCATATATCTCCATTTTAAATTAGTATTAAAGAAATGTGAATTGCTTATTGCTTTCTTGCCTGTTGTAATAAGACTGACCTCAATTGTCTCTTTTCACTCAGGAGTTCAAATCCTGTGTTTCTTGTCTGATGTTTACAAACAGTAGTGCCATATGTTTGGTCTAGATTGCTTTTGTTTAAAGTTTGAGAATAAATTCAATTGAGAATAATAATAATAATAATCCAGTGACTTGAAATATTAAGACCCTCTATTTGCATGGGGGAGGGGTTTCCCCTGAATGTCACATTTCTTCTCTGGCCTTGAGGTGACACTTCTGGCTTTAGACCATCATCTCAGGCCAGTGCTCCAACAGGTACTAGCAAGGGCAGAGTGAGGGGTCCACAGGCAAGGTGGGGACTGGTATGCCAGCAGTTATTATAGGCCTACATGTGGGCATACCTGGGAGGTGAGGATGAGGGAAGAGGAACAAGGACCACACCCCCAGTTTAGCTCCTCCATGGGCAAATGGCTAGATCAAGTGATGGGCCATCCTAAAAGGGCATCCCATCACTCCCAGTGAGTCCCCAAAGAGATGAAATTCAGCAGCACTGGGATGGACACCAGCACAGGACATCCATCCGTGGGCTCACAGTGGGGGAGTCCACTCTGTATCTTTTCCTCTTCCAGGGATCACAGGGCCATGTGATCTTCATACTGAATGTGACTCAATAAGGGGTAGACAGTAAACAGATTGTGCCTAATTTGCCACACCCTGATCTGGTCCAAGGAGATTACACCATGTCCAGCTCTCCCATTTGTCCAGGCTGAATCTGGCCAGCAGCTCCCCATCTAACCTGGGATCTTGGGTTTGCACAAGTGGAAATGCACTAGAAGAGCATCCACTGGTTCACAGTTTCAAGTTCTGAGCTTTCATATTGTGTTTTAAATGAAGATCCAGTTTGAAAGTACACAGCTACAGGCAGAAACCTACATCTCAGCCTCCCGTCACTTCATGAGTAGCGAAAGCTTGCACTGGGTGAACAGCTGGCACGGCTGCTGTGTGTGCGGGGCCAGGGCCATGGGCTACAGGGCTCCACATATCTGTCCCCACCAGGTTTATTCATTACACCTAATTATGCTTTTTATCAGGTCAGGCAGTCATTATAGTTTGCAGGTTTAGTGCACCACAACTGATTCATTTATCAAATATTTAAAAGAATATTCACTGTATGATAAGGCTTTACATGAACTAGCAGGAAAGTAATTGATTTGTGAGGTTTATTCCTTAATCAGGAATGTATGAAAATGT